TGACATCTGTGAAACACCGAACACTAGGCCTACTTGTTTTCTCTTGTTTATGAGTGCATGTGGCGACTCTGGCGAGTAATAGCTATAGGGTACAACAGGGCTAAAGGTGCACCGGGGTAAAAGGACCATTTGACTTTATTCTCTTTTATCCACTACATGGCACACAAATTCAGCTAAGCGCTTTTATTAACGACCCTTGTCATTGTCATTGCGCATGGCACCCTTTAGCGTCAATATAACACGCTTCGGTTATGGGTAGGTTTAGGTCTGGGGTAGTGTTAGGGTTAGACCACTAGGAGGCGCCATATATCTGCGTCTCATATTGACGCTAAAGGGTGCCATGTGCGTTGGATATAGACGCTTTGGCAAAAGCGTCAGTATATGACGCCTTGGGATGACAACGGGCTGGAATATGAAATTCGGCTGATTCTTGACGCGATCGCGGGCAGCGGCGATTCTAATCTAATTTGATCTAATATTTAATGTTTTTAAAAATGTTTATGTAGCAAATAGAATTAATACAATTGTTACCATTGCTACCATTGTTTTTTTTTTTTACCAAAATTATTTAAAAAAACTGTTGCTATAATTTCCTTAAACAAACTGAAAATCATTCAAAAGAAAAACATTTATCTCAAAATATAGTCAATATATTTTGAGATAAATGTTTTTCTTTTTAATGATTTTCAGTTTTGTTCAAGGAAATTATAGCAACAGTTTTTCAATATCGGAAGAATATGTAAAAGTATGGTATTTGGGGTAAAAGGCGCCCCTGCTGTTGGGGTGAAAGGCACAATAATTAACTAATTCAATAATTAATTCATATAATCAATAATTCATAAATGTATTTATTTATTTATTGCTGTAATGCTTTATTAAACTATTATGGGATCTTATTCGATGCTTTCAGAATCTTTACCTTTTTTATATATATATTTTTGTTTCTGTATTTTTAAAATGATAATATTTTCATAACAGTATATTTATTGAATAAAAATTGATTCTTTTATTTTTTGACGTTTATCCAAATAAACCGAAAAGGGTGCAACATTTGCTAAAGTGATTGTTTTGAACAAGTATTAGGCTAACTTAGACATTATTAAAATATGTAGGTTAAATTAGTATTTGTATCAATAGTGTGTGTCTTTTGCCCAGAGCTGGTTTCGCCCCGTGTGTTGTGGGATAAAAGGCCTTCCTCGCCACCTTATACATTTCTAAGATTTTTAAACGAAATAAACCACTTTTATGGTTAATTTCACACTAAATCTGTTGCTCCATCAATGTTCAACACAATTTTTTTTTCTGCAACTATAAACTATGGGAGTTTACTATGCCTTTAGCCCCGTTTTACCCTATAGGGCCTATAATATCATCCAGACTGAGAACAGATTTAATTTATACCGCGGTATAATCGTTACGGGTTTAGTTCCTTCGCAACACCTGTATGGGAATCATGAGATCACCCTCAAAATACAATCTGACAGCTTTGGGGAGGCTTTCCTAAATTCTTCCGTTTATTTTATTAAAACTATGACCTCTCTCTCTCTGTCTGTATGGCATCATTCTTGGCCGGGCACAATAACAACAATGGTAATTTTTTTCACTGAAATCTTCTCCAGTTCAGTGCACCGTTTCCGTATTTGTGAAGTTCCACCTTAAAACAACAACAGTCTTTTGGCCCCACGTGCTCCCTGTAGTTGTGATTTTGTCCTCCCCGCAGCAGCTGTCACCTCGCATTACTCGCAGTCAGCTAAATGAAACATTATTCTAAACATATGCATCGTAATCAGTTCGGTCACACTTACAAGAACACGCGTTAATAAGGCAATCAATCACGGTGGAACAAGCGAGTTGTTCTGCAACAGCTCATAAACAGTGCGTAATGAAGAATTGGAGGTTAGCATGACACGCGCTGATCAGATAATCAATGTCAAAGATGCGATGAATGTCAGTAAATGTGGTTTTTATGTCGTTTCTATAAAATCTTCAATTTACAACAAGCAGTTCAATTACCCAGAAAATACAGTCAATTAAACGGGCGTGATTGGACAGTAGCGCGAGGATCATCGATCTTTGCATTTCTATCTTGGTGGTGGACATTTAATTTGGGTTTTCTATTAGCACCGAAATAAAGGAAAAATAAAATATATTAAACGAGCCGCAGATTTATTTTCTTGTCAAAAGCAATTCGGCTGAGGTGACAGACAGTTTGCGGCATTTTATGATGAATTCTTTTTTCAGTCTATGCGCATTGGATACAGAACTGATGGCGTTATTCTGGCCAGTGTTTTTCTGCCCTCTGTCTTCTCCAGTTTGCCTCTCCATCTATCTCAATGCCTTTGTTGTATGGGTTGTAACCCTCGCCTTGGTAAAGAGCATAACGAAACATGGCGATACATCACACTCTAATCCCATTTCTTTAATGGGGACGTTCAGAAAGAAAGCAACTTATCTCAAAGTCCCCCGGGAACATCCCGGTATATATTTAACCAGGCTGCAATTAACGACAGTATCAGCTTGTATCATTTAGAGGTAATGTAAAAATAATGGTAAATTATAGGGCCGGAATGACCCGTGATCGCAGACTTCATATTCCCCATAGTTTTAGTGTCGTTTTAATTAATGCCAGACTCACTTTCTTACCAAGGAGAGAGAGAGAGAGAGAGAGAGACAACGAGAGAGAGAGAGAGAGAGAGAGAGAGAGAGAGAGAGAGAGAGAGAGAGAGAGAGAGAGAGAGAGAGAGAGAGAGAGAGAGAGAGAGAGAGAGAGAGAGAGAGAGAGAGAGAGAGAGAGAGAGAGAGAGAGAGAGAGAGAGAGAGAGAGAAATGTGTTAACAGAGCAGGAACACCGCTTCACACTATTGGGTATTTTTTCATTGAAATATTGATTTTAAAAGCAAGATGAAAAGACATCAGTTGAATTAAAAACACATGTTCAAAATGTAGCTACTTAAAATAAATTGAATTTGCGTGTGTTCATTATTGTTTAGAATTAGACAAAAAAAAAACTAAATCAGAATTCGAAGTGAATGAAACGTCATAGGCCACATCATTCGATTTCGAATTTGCTCGACTTTGATGCGTTCCTTCCGTTGATTTAATTTGCTACGTGCACAATGATAATAACGATATTAAAAATGTGCGTTTTAAATATTTATTTTCCAAGAACAACACCATCAATAAATAACATAATATACATTTTTATATTGCACATTTTTCTCAAGTGAAAATATGAAAATTCATACAGTCGGCAATATGTAAAATACAGAGACGTAATGTACAGAGTCGTGTATCACGGCAAATCCCTTGGGAGAGGAGCAAAACACTGGGATTTTAGTATTGTCATTTATTGAACAGACGGCAAACAGCCCCGCGGAACAACTCACTAACCTTTTTTTTATCTTCTTCCATTTGAAAATGTAACAGCAATGTAATATGCTTTATTTACAATGAGTCTGATCGTTTGGGTTTGCAACATCATTTGAGGCCTAATATTTCTTCGCTTTCGATTTGTTATGTCAGATTGTTTTGAGTACCTAAAACAATTGCGTAATCCTAACATTAAATAAACAGTCAACAAAATAAATTATGCATTTTTAAAAAATTTAAAAGGGTAGGCCTATCTATGCCGTTAATAATTTCGGATGGCAGTCAACATTTTGGTTTAATACAAACGTGACTATACGTGTTATGGCAAAATATCTCACCATTTGATCTGTACAAGTGCTATTTTGTTATTTTTAAAATGTGGTTTTATATGAGGCAGAATTGCGCAGTGACAAAAAAAAAAAAATGTATGCAGACAGAAATGCATGAGCAATTTGTCTGAAGTTTGGGGTTGTGTGGATAATCCCATTATATTGTGAGTGAAGAGTCTCTACTGGGAGTATTATGGAAATATCGGTTTGGATTTAATGAGACTGCTCGCATCAGCGGAACATCTCTGAGAGAAAGCCTGCCCAGGCCGGCCAACCTTCCAATAAGAAAATTGGAAATAGGACTCGGTGGAAAGGGGATCTTTTTCTCTTTTTTTTTCTTTTTTTCTTTTTTAAATAAAAAAAAAATTCTCAGGTAACGAATACCACGTTTAATACTGTACAATCTACACACCGAGAACAATGCGTAATGCTCAAGGTCTTTTATCTATCTTGTCTAATGACTTCCCACAGCGGGTTGTTATGCTCTGACAGCGAGTCTCAGAACGGGAACTTTCTTACATTTTCACATTCAAAGGAGGTCCATCAAGGTACATGATTGGCAATTTTCGTCATAATCTTCACATTATTAACAGCAGAATTGACATTGTAGCAGTAGTGCAGATTTTATGCGACACACTCCTATCAGGGAGAGTCCCTCGAGCAGCAACACTTTTAGAGTAGCATCATTATCTCGCGCCTGGTCCCTTAACCGATGCTAAAGTGGCACAACCAGTGTATATATTCTCTTTACTGCACGATCGAAAACAAAATAACATTTGCATACACTCTTAAAAAAAAGGTTCTTTATTGGAATCGATGCTTCCATGAAGAACCTTTAAAATCCATGGAATCTTTCTGTTTACATTCAGATTTTTTAGAACGATTTTTCTTCACACTAAGGTTCTTTTAGGAACTGTTGACTCAAAGGTTCCTTGGGGAACCAAAAATGTTTCTTCTATGGCACTGATGCTAAAACACCCATTTTGGAACCTTTATTTTTAAGAGTGTGCAGTTAATAAAAATAATAATAATAATTGAAAACGAGAAATTAAAATGAAGTGTTAGTGTAAATTTGCTTATTATTCAATGTTGTAATACAGTGTTTTCTAAAGGCCTTATTTTAAATATATCTTTATAATTCTTCAGAGCGTTATAGGCCTTATTGGAATGGAAATGCTGTCCCTATACACTCTAAAAATGCTGGGTTGTTTTAACCCAATTTTGAGTCAAACATGGATAAACCCAAACGTTGGGTTAAAAACTTTCATTTAAAAATGTAACCCAACGGCTGGGTTTGTCCATATTTGACCCAACGTTGGGTTGAAACAACCCAGCAGTTTTTAGAGTGTACATTTAAAAATGATATCAATAATAATACAAATAATTACATGTCCTTCAAATAAAAGAGTGTATGCCAGTACTAAGCTATCTATTGAGCGCGCTCTCCTCTCTCTGGTCCGGTGAGGGCACCGCGGTTTTGCTGAGAACCGCGGCCGAGTATGGCAGGAATCCGCTCTCGGACCTCTGTCCGCTCGCAGTGCAGGTGAAGTCGGAGCTGGAGCTCCTGGAGCCGAGGGCACTGGCAGCCTGACTGCTGTGGCAGCTGAGACACGAGCACGGACCCGCCGCTGAAGGCGCACCGACCGCCGCAGCCGCAGCCGCCGCCGCCGCTGCTGCCGCTGACGCCGCCGCGGAGCTGTTCAGACCCGCGGGAGACTGGTACAGTCCTGGGTGACGGAAACTACACAGCAGCTCCGGGCGCGAGTATGGGTGAGAAAGCGCACGGAAAGTATCGAGGGGGCGAATAGAGGTAGCGAAAGGTGAAGACGCGGCTCCTGACGCGGCCGCCGCAGCAGCTGCCGCCGTGACACCGACATGGGGGTAATAGTGTAGTGGCATGTGGGAATGGAAAGGGTAAGGCAGACTTCCGGTGGCGGCCGCGTGCGTCATCATATAGGTGTAGAAACTGGGATCCGCGGGATGTGGCCAGGACATGGCGAGCCGCTGCCGCTTGTCCTTCATTCGTCGATTCTGAAACCACACCTACACAGAAACACACAGGTAACAATTAGGGATGAGCAGAACAACAGAACTAAACAATTTAACACTAGTACAGTTTAACTGGCAAACAACCTCAGGACATAAGCATCTGCAATAATATTGGTTAAAGCTTTTTCATCAGAAAAGAATTTACGCAATCAATTACGCAGATAATTCTGTAAATGCAACCCCTTTGGATACGCTGAAAAGAGGCAAGTTTCTGCCTCAGACAAAATAAAAATATCTTATTACATATGGTCTAATGTGTGTTTAACAGTAGGCTATATCCCACATATTTTTTTTGTAAACAGTATTTACCAGAATTAGCATTAGAACGCGGACATATAAAATTGCGTGTTTTTGTTTGTGTATTAATCTACTCCTTGAACCTCTGTGCTGTAAAATATAGCTGAACATTTTAAAAGCATTTTGAATTAGCAGGAACATATTCGATCTGCTCTGGAACCAAATCATATACCTTTATTGTTGTTTCGGGTAGATTTAATGCTGCGGCCAGTTCACATCTTCTGGGTCTTGACACGTAGTTTTCCCTGTAAAATTCCTTCTCCAATCTCCCAATCTGTTCCCGGGTAAACGCAGTCCGATACCTCCTCACTTGGTCCGAGCTCGAGCTGGAGTTTCCCATAGAATTACCGTTCAGATTCGAGAGAGACGAACTTGAATTGGAGGCCCCTGAATTACTGTCCGAAAAACCTAAATCGGATAATGAAAGAAATAAAAGAGAAATGTAGACATTTATTTTTCCTTTTATCACGCTAATTTGCACATTCAAATAAAATATTCAAATATGATCTGTGATTTATTTATAAATTGTAGCTATTCAGTTTAACGGGAACTTGTTGGGATTACATTTAACTTGATTTGTCACAGAGATGTAGCGCGCAATTATTTTAAACCAAAAATAGAGAATAAACAATTAAAGACAAACGTATCAAACAGTTCAAATGCATATTTTTAACATTGCAAAATGTATACAGTCTACATAATGCAATCACAGATCATTTAATTCAGGTAATAAAAAGGCAACGCCGACAGGCTTTAGAAAAATGCTACACTAAAAATATTGGCATCAATGGTTCCATAAAGAATATTGGAATATTTCCATTCTACTAAAAAATATTCTTTAGATTATTAAAACGAATTTTTATTTTAAAAATGGTTATGTTAAGAAATGTTCTTTGGGGGAACCGAAATGGTTCTTCTAAGGCACCTTTTTGGAGCCTTTATTTTTTAAGAGTGTATGAAATAAAATATAAAAATACACATCAAATGGAATTTCAATTAGAGCTATACCTTCCAAACTTTGGAATATCCACTCAAATTAGCATTCGAACGAATGCATAAAGCACAAGCTGAAAGTTTCCATGCGGTTTGTTTACCTTTGCTGTGGTTTTCCTTGTGTTGGCTGATGCTGCCCGGCGAGCGATGAGACGGGCATCCCACTTCCACATCACTGTTCATATCGGAGTCAGGAGAAACTTCGGGATACAGGTTTATTTTCTTCCTGCTCTCGGAGGACGACACTTCAGTGGAGGAGGTATTGTCGTTGTGGTGGTTTCCAAACAAGCTGTCTATCTCGAACTTGCCTTTGGTGGGAATATCCCCGAGCCCGCCGTGTATTCTCGGGCTGAGGCGACCGGCGTGCGGAGAGTTTTCCAGGGCCTCAAGCACCGCGTTCCCGGCAGAGTCAGTGAGGTTGGAGAGCCTCTTTCCCGCCACTGGACTGTGTAGTCCCCTTTCCATCAGAATCATCTCTTTTCTTATCCTCTCCATCATGAAGTCGTGCAGATAAAAAAAGAAAAGAAATCCAAAGTCCCAGGGCTGGTGCTCCGATGACTGGTGGCGGATCTAATCCGCATTCAGCTCAGCTGCCGCCTCTAAATAATATAACACCTTTATGAGCTGGAAGCAAAAAACAGAGGAATGCCAGTGCGGGCAACGAATGACTGCTCAAAATGACCCGCGCATCCTCTCTGGTCCAGAAAGTCGTTCATCAAAAAGTGGTTTGCGCCTTCGTCGTTAAAGGTGCGCGTGACGCGGTTCGAATGATCATTTATTGTAACAGGTTTATAAGCAAATAAATAGGAGAGAGACTGTCATCGGTTGATAGAGTCGGCCCTTGATCGGCCAGACGCGTATATCCAGGTGGAGAGAGAGAGGAGAAGTGAGGAGAGCAGCTTCTGATCGGACTCTGTTTTAGATGGCTCCTGGGGTTGGCCTCTGGGGTGAAATTGACAGTCTGATTAATAAAATGAGCGCGGCAACATTTCCCTCTTCATTTAGGAATATCATTATGCTTTGATTCTCTATTGTTCCTTCCTTCTGTTCTGGCTCTCCCACTCCCTCTCACTCTCTCTCTCTCTGAGCTCTGTTTCTTTTTTCTTTCTCTGTCGATTATTTCACAACAGACGTTTTCGAATGAGAGGCATTAGTTAAAGATTTTTGCATCCAATTAGAAGATCCCGTTGCGAATATTGTTGTTCGTTACAAAATAACGACATGGAGACATTCAATTTTGTGGCATTATTTAAACGCTGTGTGGTTTTCTTATAGCCTATATTTGTTGGAGATAGATGACCCGAACGTTTGCAAATCTCACCTATATTATTACATACTATTTTTGAATCGTTTATTGGTAGAATTATTTTTTATTTTGTTATTAGTAGACGTTCTCGTTTTACGTTTGTCTATGCTGAAATCACGAGATATGCTATTTTCAAATGTCAAATGATTGATCCTAATTTAACAGAAAACCCGTAAAAGTAACAAATGTTTTCGTTTATTAAACCCATGTTTAAAATTCATGGTATGAAAGACTGAATCAAAAGTATGTAATAAGACGGGAAAAACCCTTTTATTTATTTTGCATGGGAAATGTAATAATGTAATATTTAGGCTACTGCTTATTGCTACATATTTATAATATGCAGATCTTAAAACTGTATAGAGATTATAATTATGATAAATGCCAATCTAGATTGCCAATCTCATTGGTCATGCCTAAAAACTAAATAAATCTGGGTAACACTTTATTTTACACGTTACATACTATAAAGTATGCAAAATTACATCCAACTAAGCCTAAACCAAAGCAAACCCTAATCAAAACCATATAGTAAATACATGTAGTTAACTAATATTACGCAGTTCTTAAATGTATAATTACAGTGTAAAAAATAAATCTAATATCCAAAAGGGTAGGCTATTTCACTTTATACATATTTCTAACAATATCTCTCAAACGCTGTAAAATAGGTAAGTATTAATCCGTTTTAAAATGTGTTCCTGCAACTATAGTGTGTGCTCTCAAATCAAGTGTTAAGGTGTGGGCATGAGCGGCTCTGTAAGGCGAGGTTAAGTTATCCACTTCAAGCTGAGAGAGCGCGCGTGACCGAGACGCGCACTAAACCGTTTGCGCGTCCTCTGGCGCCCTCGCCAGTTTTTCATCAGATGATACAACAGCTTGAATTCAGTGAGGCATCATCAACCCACCTTCCCATTCTGTTCAAACCACAGTTCTAACCAGTTTGTTAGTTTATTGTAACCTATTAATATTTTATCAATTGTGACATCGGTAGAATCGAATGACATGTTCAGATCATTGTTAAAAATATTTGTGAAAAACAATTCATTTAATACCACATGATAAGATGAATGAAAAAAAAAATGTCATCACTCTCAAGTTGTTCCAAACCTGTATGAGCTTCTTTCTTCTGCTGAACACAAAAGAAGATCTTTGAAAGAATGTTTGTAACCAAAAAGTTGGGGAACCATTTGACTTCTATAGTTTTTTTATGGAAGTCAATGGGGCCCATCAACTGTCTGGTTACCAACATTCTTCAAAATATCTTCTCTTGTGTTTGGCAGAAAGAGGAAACTCATACAGGTTTGGTTTACAAGTTGAGGGTGAGTAAATGATGACAGACTTTAGATTTTTGGGTTAACTATCCCTTTAAGGAGACAAATAATTACATTTTAATGTAATTTGTTAATTGCTATTTCAAAACTATTATATTCGAGACTAAAAAAGTATCGATCTTTATTAAAACTATACTCACAGTCTTCGAATTTCCATGACAGTTAATAACTTAAAACGTGGGAGACTGGGTGTGATTGTAACATGGGGAGAGTTGTAACATCACCATCTCCACTAATCAGGGATAAACTTGGAGTCCCATGATCATTTCAGTGTTTATCCAATTCCTCCCAGATCCTTATACTGTATATGATTTATTTATTTATTTACCAAAACTGTATTATGTGTAGTACTTAAACTTTTGCAAATAAAACCATATAACTTATTAGGGGTGGGAATATTTTGGTAGGCTACCTAATGATTAAGCTGACTGCAGTCATTACATACATGAGCAAGGCAGCCCTGAGACAAATAGAAAAACGTCTCAGGTTACGACTGTAACCCTAGTTCCCTGAGAAGGGAACGAGACGCTGCGTCGATGACGCTTTGGGAACGCCTCTGCGTGATTGCGTCTGAAGCTCGTATGTCAACTAGTCCAATGGAAATGATGGCAGTCGCTATTGCTCCATTACCAGAGCCTGCTCGGGATGCTCTAGCGTGAGCAACACCCCGTTGTAGCGTGGTGGACAAGAACCAAACTGAATTCTGACTATCTGCTGGACCCATTGAGATGTGTTTGGCAGATTCTTCCATTCAGATAATCTACTAAGGGTACCAGCCTCTCGAGACTGGCCTCTGGTTTAACTGGAACCGCCACTTCGGTGGCCTGAAACATACTGGCAGGAACCAACCGAACTGACTGTTTTTGAACCCCCCTCAGAGGGTGCGGGTTTGACGCAGCGTCGAGTTGATACTGAGGCATGTGCTCGCTGGAGACCGCTGGGCCCCGAGGCACCAGGGGTGGCGGGGTTGGCAGAACGGCCCCCTGAGGGCACCAAGATGGAACGGGCACCATATACTTACACCGCTCCACCCCGGTTGGGGCTGCCCTCAACGGTCTGACGCCGGTGGCCGTTCTTTAATTTGAAGAACGGTCCTCAGATCCGGCTTCTGCTTCGAAGGCTTCGGCTGAGAGTGTCCGGCCCGCATGATTTTTAAAGGAGGAGCACGGGACGCAACACTCTCTTTTTGTTGCGCTCTATATGAGGAGATATTTTTTCAATGCCTCAGATTGCTTTTTGGCCTCCTGGAACCTCTCAATGACCGTATTGTCGCCGAAGAGGCCAGAAGGCGTTAACGGGGCATCTAATAAAAAGGATCTGTCTTTGTCCTTAATCTCAGCTAAATTCAGCCAAATATGCCTCTCAGTGGCCACCAGGGCTGCCATAGACTGCCCTATTGCTCTTGTGGTCTCCTTGGTGGCCCTGAGAGACAGATCTGTAGCCTGGCGCAGTTCTCAAACTTTGTCGGGTTAAACTCCCTCGCTCTTATCCAAATCCCCCAGCAGATCAGCCTGATATGCCTGTAACAATGCCATTGTGTGGAGGCATGCTCTGGCCGGTCACCGTGATTTTGCCAAGACAGACATGGTCCTGAATCAACATATTTTGTTGATCCTGGATCAACATTCCTGTCCCAAAATGTAGTCCTTACCCAATCCCTACCCCTAAACCTAACCCTACCCATAACTTTTCCCTAAAATCATAGGGTAATGATAGGTGAATAACACTGATGTTTAAGTACTTCACCCTGGTTCTAAGCCTAAACTTGACATAAACTGTAAACTTGACCCTAAAATCTGATTGGTTGATTGGAAAGTTGATCCAGGATCAACAACGATGTTGATCCAGGAACATGTGGTACTTGGTGAAACCACGTTCACCTGCTCGGGCCTGACCTGCTGCCGTATATGCTTTACCCACTAAATTAGATGTTGATTTGAGTGGCTTAGTGGGAAGCCTTCAGGGACGATGCTGAACCAGGGGACAGATAGCTAGCTAGCGTCTGTTCAGCCCTTGGCATCGCCCCATATTCATATTCTTTCAGGCCCCTTATATCAGAATATACATGGACTTGGGGGCTAGAAAGACGGAATGAATATGGCTTATTCCACGATCTAGACAGCTCGCTGTGCAGATCGGGAAAAAATGGAAGGCCCCTTGATGGAGGTGATACATTAGATGATAGGAAGCGCTCATCTAGTTTACTTTTACTTTTAGGACGAGCGCTCCTTTTCTCGGCCGGCCACTCAATATTTAATTTTGCCACGGCACGAGTTACCACCTCCACCAGCTCCTCATATGCTGGGGAAAGAGGTGGCAAATCCTCTTCCCCCTTATTTTGTTCATCAGCAATGCTCAATACATCTAGTTCCTCAGAACTGGAGCACTGAGGCATTGGGCTCTCTTTCTGGGCGGAAGAAGCCGCTGGGCGGGCTTCCGACACTGGCGAGAGAGAGCGTTGGATCCCTCGGGTAAAGGAAGAGAAAGGGCGGAGCCCGTCTCTAACCCCACCGAGAGATCCATTTGCGATCCCCAGGAATGCCTTCTCCGTGCTGCCTCAGCAGCAGCGGGTCCAGATCCCTGAGGATCGCGAGCTTGGCCACTTTCCTCAAAAAGTGACAGGCGAGAGCGGAGCTGACATAGCAGGCAGCCCCCTCGAAGGCCGACATAGCATGCTCCGCTCCCAAACACAAGACACATAAATCGTGTGTATCCCCACACGTTAAATAGCGCGGGCAGGGAGAAGCACACAATTTAAACATCTCTTTCGCCATATTTCGCTTGTGATACAGAAAACAATAAATAGACAGACAGTTTCGACATAGAGCACTTGCTAAAGGCACAGAAGCTGATGCCGGTCAGACCGGATGTGCTTTTATCCTTTCCCAGGGCTGGACTGGCCATCGGGCATACCGGGCATTTGCCCGGTGGGCCGACGTGCTTTGTGGGCCGTTACATCTCATACTTATTTTTTTTATTTATTTATTTTTTTGTCTGAACGGCCCATAAAACTCGTACATCGGCGGCCCATTGCGTTTAGTTTTGTTTAATTGGCGGCTCTGGGATCTTTGTGCCGGTGTAATGCATTGGACAAAAAAGTCAGCGTAGGTTTTTCTTTTTCTCACAGACCGGCGCATGATGAAACGCGTAGATCAGCAGCCCATTGGTTATTTTCTTGATTGACACTGGGCTGGTCCAATCACATCTTTAAACTCCTCCCCCTTTGAGCTCTGAGTGAGCGAGCAGTGTCAGTGTGTATCTGTCAAAATAGTCAGAGCGATGGAGAAGAAACGCAAGGAATGTGCAGAGAAATAGCGTGAAAAAGAAACTTCAAAGGCCCTTCAAGTGTCTGATGAGGATAGCGAGGAGGATAAGGAGAGAGATGAGTGAGTGCAGAGAACTGTGGTAAGCAGAACTAGGCTACTGTCACAACACTTATGGT